GCTTGGCTATCCGCGCCATTATCATGCATCTGCCCTCCAAGAGCATCGTGTCGTAGAACTAGCGGCGGGGTGTGCTGCGCCCGAGATTCCAGGCCGCCACTTTTCATCAGCGAGAACGGGAAGATGGTGCCTGTGGGGTAGGCGCAGAAACGATGCTTTGGATACAGCTCCGAGGCCATTGTGTCCCAGAACTCCAGGCAGATCTTGAAGATCTCGATCTCATCCACTAGCAAGATGAGCAGCACGTAGCGCAGCGTCTCCAGCAGCTGCGGCCGCAGCTCCGCCGTCTTCTCGATCAGCTTGCTGTGCTCCTTGCTGCAGGTGGCCAGGAAAAGCGCCAGGTTCTGGATGAACTTCTACTCGTCGTCCGTGCGCTTGCCGACACGCAACGCGGATGTCCGCCTCCAGCGGCAGTATCTAAACCATTTCCAACCACAATGCCACAACTAATTCACCAAAAAATAAAGAAAATTATCTTAAATTGTCAATTACACAAACACTTCACCAGCACGTATATACGCACATAAAACTCGTTTACAAGAAACGATTGGTACCACAGTTCTTTGTTTGCGCTAACAAAACAGTTAATGTCGATGTGATAATAAAAACCGTGCCACAAAAGTGTCACAAAACAAAATGAAAAAATATACGGTAACTATATCCATAGCAAAATGCAAATGCTACGAAATATGGAAAAAGTTTAGAATAAGAACTTAAAACTGATGAATATTCTTCAACGATCGGAAGAAGTTAAATGTACACGACGAAAGTATAAACAACCACGCTAAATGAAAGCCATCGTGCCCATGAACTACGAAATCCACTCAATAATATAAATCTGCCATTAATATAAAAATATCTTCCCTTAAAAAAACTTTAGCTTTTAAAGTAAGATATTACACAGCAATAATTCTCTAACGTTTTGATATACGTTTTGATTCCTGCAAAACAAACCACGGTGCTGTCGACATTTTCTCCTGTTTAATTAATATTTTCCATATTTTTTAGTTTTGCCATTTTCCGTCAATTCTTCCCTCTTATTTTTGGAAAAACTGGTTTTCTTTTCCATAAGTAATCCGGCATCCACATTTTATCCTTCCGTTTTACATTTTCGCTTCTTTAGAAGGTTCAGCACACACTTCATAATAATATTTAATTAAAAATATTTCTATTATGCACTTGAAGTTACCATGGAAGAAATTTAATGGACACGGAAATCGAAAAATTTCTACGAAAATGAATTATTTGAAGACGTACATCTACTTAACTGTTTCCATTTATGCCCTTCTTATTATCTCATTTCTTCGAATTCCGATAACGATGGTAAAATGAACAATAAACTGCAGATTGCTGAGGAGCCAATTGAGAGGAAAAAACAAATTCGAAACAATATTCTTGAATTCGTCTGGAAATTTGAGAAACTGGGAAAACATTCCATACGAATTCCAAGTGATCAAACGTTAGGATTAGCTGGAAAACGAGAAAACCCTCACCTTCACACTTGGCCATGGCAGCGTCTTCTACCTAGTATTGATGACGTTCTTGAGGATCTGCGATTTTGCGTGTCTGCAGGGCAAATTACTTGGTCTCGGGGTCTGCGAGTATTCCACCATGGCGTGGGCACGCGTCCACGTTGCGAGATCTTCCGTTCCTCCGAGGCACCCTCTGCGCCTCTGATTGCTCATACTTGGCGCAGCAAAACATCCTGCCAAGCAGCGCAATGTCTAGTCGCTCGAAGAACTAACGGAGCTTTGCTGGCCCCCGAAGGACCAGAGTCTGCTGCAGCCATCCAGCCTGGTCGTCGCAGCCATCCAGGCTGGCCGTCGCTCACCCTTGTGGAAGTTGTCAAATTAAGTGCTACAATCAAGCGCTCAAATTGACGTTTACTGACAAGTTTACAATGACGCTGTTAAAAATCACACTCGGAAATCACGATAAGTATCAGGCGATTTTTAATTTTATACGCCACATTACACAAACAAAAGTATAAAACTCAATAGTATTGCACTCTGTCGTGACTCAAAAAAATGGAGACGAAAGCCGTTCGAAACTGCGTGCTATGAAGACGCAGCGCAGCGAGATGCTGCTTTGTGTGCGTCGGGTGCCCATATGCGGTATGCTGTAGAGGTTATCAGGTGGCGCTGCTAACTGTAAGTACTGACTGCCCGCGCTTCTGACACGCTACCGCAGTATGAGCCAGTATGTATAAGACTAGTAAAATAGGAAATAGTATAAAATATATATAATAGGAAAGATTAGTATTTAGAATAGTATAAAATATATATAATAGGAAAGATTAGTAATACTAATCTTTCCTATTATATATATTTTATACTGTTTCTATTTTATATTGTGAATTTCCTAGTATATATTTATCCTTGTAACTTGACTATTTCAACTTGTACAGTTTTCTTTCTATTTTCTACAGGCACGTAGTTTTCAAACTGCTGTATAGCAGAAAAAATGGAAATTAATAATTATTGCTGCTTCCAGCCAACAAAAAAACTTAACACAATATAAAAACTACCTGTATACATAAATTTTTTTTTAATTTGTATATTTTTATATTACTAGTAAATATACAAATTTTAAGTTACAAATACTACAGAATTAAATTTAATACTATTATAAATACTACTATTAATTTATTATTTGATACTATAGTATTAAATCTGTATATTAATTTTTATATATTTATTTTTGGTTATAAAGATACGTAATGCTTTTGGGCTGGCTGATGAAACATCGAACGTATATAACACACATCTGTCTTATTTTTCTGAACAATTTTCTGAAATCCATTACCGTTTCTCTATAAGTGCTCTTTCTTTACTTTATGTGATCTTCTCCAACAAATAATTTGAACCACGTAGCCGCAGCGCACCGCTCTGCATCATTCACGGCCGGATTTTAAAAATGCATAAATATATAAATCAGATTATTCTTAGAGCATCCGATATGCAGAAAAGTGTTCCATGTTTCACACATATTTCCAGTATTCTTTTATACTTGAGTCGCTAATTAATTGCCACTTAAAAAAACAGAAATCTAGTAATTTTTAGCAACTTCCGGTTCGAACTTGGAACTGGTCTAGACCTTTGGGTCTAATCCAGTACCATTATCTTCGTTCGGAAATCGTGACACCACATTCGAACCAGTATAGAGCTTTTCTGTGTACTTAGCAAGTACGAGTACGACCTTTTGACTTGGGGATCAGCGTAGAATGTGCCAACGGAGTGTCCAGTGTCAGCTCGACTGACCCGGAGCATTCGCACGCCCACCAACTTGTCTTCCGCTCGGACCTTACTTGCCAGTGTTTCGCAAAATTTACGGAATCTCTCACTTACATCGCCACCGACATCGTGACAGAAGACGAAAATTCTTCCGTGGTAACGGAATCAGAAACGAACAACATATCTCACGCAATGTGGATGACCTGCAGAGACAACATTGCCGCTGCATGCATCGAACGAAAGTACCTGTTTTCCCACACCATGCAGGTCGCCCTGCAGGCGGACGGTGTGTCTTCTCCTTGATCTGTCTTTTGCCTGCCGCAGCACCATGGTGGTCATGCACCACTCACCAGCACATTCTGGTACAGAAAAGGACCACCGTGGAATCTACGGCGCGGCTGCCCCAGTTGATTGCTGCGGTGTGTAAAAACGGACGGGTGTTAGCTTCCGAAGGTCATCCGCGAAGATCGAACAAAACGACAGTAGAATACTCAGCCAGGACAAGCAAGTTCTGCCGGGTGCATTTCAGAAGTTTGTGGAGCATTTGTTTGAACCGAAGCGATTACAGTAGTAGCGAATACCCTTGAAGCGTTCAGGAAGCTTGCAATTTGCACAGCAATTATTCCATGCGCCATGGTCAAAAAAAAGAATTTAACAATGTTTTTCTACACTGTATTGTAGGCTTGTAGCCTACGGTTTTGGTCGGTTTAACGACCAAAACGTCCGCCGGACGTCTTGGTCGTCCGGAGGTTTTGGTCAGTTAAAGGCGTACCTTTCTCACTCACTCAACTCCAGCTTATATGCATACAGTTATTTATTTATTACAGGAGCTCCGCCTCCTTTGCACGAAAACTGGACGTACAGTGAAACCGCAGTACTAAGTACAATACTTGTTCTTGACGCAAAATTAGAGTAACAGATTCACATATTCGACGAAACGCGACTGTAGTGGTGTGGATAGTTCAAAACTTCAAGGCAGTATTACGGCTAACCGCTAACAACAACAACCCCATGTTTAATTGTAGAGATATTTGGGAATTCGCTGCGACGTCCGGCGCATTCAGCCATGTTTTCCTGTGTTCCGGCAGTCGCTTGGCATTTCGATGGTCGGGCAGTTTCCGGTAGCCCGCAACATAACGCAGTCGTAACACTTCAGCGTCATTGCAGTTTCCTAAGGCGTAGGCACTAACGTAATGTACAAGCTTGTCCGGTAATTTCTGCCGGTTCAAAACAGCGAAATACACAAATTTGCGTGTTACGCCAAACGTAGTGTAGTGGCAATCGCTATAGCGCAAACTTCGCGCTAAATATGTGCTATCTGTACCTTTACGACAGAAATTACCGGACAAGCTTGTAATTGCATCCATCACAAAGCATATGGAAAAAGTTAGTAAAGGTTGCGACTATGTTCTTTATCAGCGTCATCGGTGTCGCCTTAAACAGAAATCCAATGAAAAACGGATTACCAACATTCAGTGCCATGTTTGCACTACCGCTGTTACAGGGATGCACTGACGTTATACAGACATTGTGTCGGCGCAGACAGTTGCTCGCTATCCTAGCAAGGTATGTATACGTTAATAAACTGCATTTTCGTTATGCGTTAGCTGTCGTCAATTCTTTAAAGGAAAAGCTCTTTAACTGTGTTATGCTGCACTTCCAGTGAATCACCAGGTGTCGATTGTGTGGCATTTTGTGTGATTCGTTTTATGGAATAAACCTTTCCAGTTAATGCCGACAACCTTAAAAGCAGAATTTTAATGAAAAATGAATATTTCCACAATTACCGGCAATCTCTCCGTGACGATGCAATTCCGTCACCCCGAACTAATTGCCTTAATAACAGTCAACGCCAGCGCTGCTGTTATCGGTACCATTCTCTCCCTGACGTTGTTCCTCACCATGATTCTGCGTCCGCAACTGCGCACCGGCTCCGGCATTCTTATCGCCCACCACCAACTACTGCACGTACTGCTCAACAGCGTCGTCAGTCCGTTCTACATCGTCACGGCTTGGGGTGTCTGGCTAGGCGGCTCCATTTCCGGCCTCGACTGCAATGCCTTGTTCTGCGCGTGCCAGCTGATTGTCTGCTGCGAAACATGGAGTTCGTTGTTCTTGGCTGTCAACCGTTTCGTCGCCTTGACATATCCGCACCAGTACAGCCATATCTCATCGAACACAGCCGTTACGGGTTTCATAATGGCGGCATGGGCCATTAGCATGGCAATTAACCTTCTCGGCGCCTTCGGTGTTGGGAGTATTTTCGGGAGGCGGGAGTTAGGTTGCGGAGTCGTGCGCGTGACAGATCAACATCTCTTCAACGTCGCTGGCAGCTTTGGTAAGTATCTTCCCATGGTACTGCAAGCAGTACTTTATGGATTATCTTATTCCGCCATTATCGCGCCAAGAAAGATCTGCAAGCGGCGGCAAAGAAGCGGTTTGTTTTGTTCCTGTTGCTGCTGGGCTCGTATGCATGGTATACCGCTTGGTTTATCCCGTATTTGATTTGCTACTACGGATTCGCTGTTTTTTGGTTTGCTGACAAAGTGCGCGCAGGTTGGTTTATAGCCGTGCAAGAAATCGGATATGCCGGAAGTCCGGTAGGTTATTTCGAACGTTTCTCTTGCCTCCACTTAGCTCTTGTTGATTCTGCTCGTTTCCCAAGGTGTTTTTGCTGCTGTTGAACAAGGATGTTGCGAATGTCGCCAAAGAGGGAATTCGGCGCGTATTTTGACGAGCAAGATCGGGATCAATTTCTCCGAACTCGGTAATATCCTCCATGGCGCCTTCGCGGTCGAGTCGGCCATAGCCAGTTTGCAGTTTTAGGTCATGTGAGATATTTACTAACTTCAAGCATTTTATTGGCCTCCGAATCCAGTCCTTATTTTAGACAATTTTTATAGAAATCCAGTTTACTCCATTCGTGTTTCAAAAATGTGGTCTTTCCCTTTTATTCTTATGTTTATTAAATTGGAGAAAATCACCCTTTTGGAGTTTGGGTCGGTGTGTCCGTATTATTGGTCGGCGTATATATCAGTACTGCGAGTTGTAGCATGCACAACAAAGGTCAGAGTGGTGCGCTGATGCAGACAGAAACGCGAAGCGAAAACACACAACAACCAACTTTTTCCCTAAATCGTGAGGTTTTGTTAAAGGCACAACTCCCAGCATGGGAAAACGCCATCTCCGCAAGGAAATGCGCATTTCTGCGGAAAAACAGGAAGATTCAGCGAGGACAGCGAGGACCACTGCGAGCTGTCGGCAGATTGGTAAATTGAAGAGCGAAAAAATTCAAAAAATTCTGTCCTGCGCTTAGCACTGTATCGGGCGTACGAGGGGGGAGTCGGCGCGGTACCCACCACCTTAATGAGTGGCGGCGGCGATCTCATACCGAAGGCAAACTACCGTTCTACTACTTCAGACTACCGTACGGCGTACAATGCTGTATGTGAATACTACAGTTGCATATTTACAAAGTACAGTAAAATACCTGAAACCTTAAACTGTGAATTCATAAATAATCTGTAATAGAAGTACCGCGATGCACGTAAATTAGGTTTCAGGAGACTCACAAAGTGTTCAAGGTGCAGCAGGAAGTGATCATCGTCGAATGTGCCAACCATGAACCCTCACTAAGCTCAACCGACCCGGAATTCGCGGACCCACCAACTCGTCTTTCGCTCGGACCTTGCCAGGCTAAGCTTCGCAAAATTTACTGAGTTCCTCAACTACATCCACACCAACATTGCGACAGATCATGATAATTCTTCCGCGACTACGGATACCAACGAGAATAAACTTTCTGATGTGATATGGGGAACCTGGGGAGACGTTATTACCGCATCTTGCACCGAGGAAACGCTCGTTTTCTCCCACACCAAACAAGCCGCTCTGCATGCGGACGGTGTGATTTTCCAGATGATCAATCATTCGACTGCCGTAGCAGGCTGGTGGCCATTCATGCGCTCCTCCTGGTGCAAGAAATGACCACCGTGGAACCCGCCGCGCCGGTATCCCAGTCGATTGCGTCGGTATGCGGTATGCAACAACATTCGCGTATTTGTCTCCAAGGGTCATCCGCGACGCTCCAAGAAAACGACGATAAATAGCGTGCTGCAGATAGACCGCGCAGAATAACGTATGGAGAGGATACGTTATTAAACTATTACAGTTCAAAGGCAACATTACTATGTTATAGTGGATGCCGCCAACGAGAACACACTTTGTCGCATACAAAATACAGCTCTCTTGGTTCCCCTTCTTGCACCAGTTAAACCTTATCTTTTATTCTCAATATTTACATCAGAGAGCACCACTCGGTAAACACAATCAAATAAGGAGCTTGTCCCAATTAACATCGTCCGTAGGGCACTGGTGTCAGCCCGCATCCCTGCTGAATTGGAGCCGCGGGGAACATCCCTTACGTCGGATTGCCGGCTAGATGGGTGCACGACCTTGGCCTGGAAACGCGGTATGTGCTTGGCGTGGGACGTCACCTGTGTGGATATCGTCGCCCTGTCTCACTTGAAATCCACGTCAGCTACAGCTGGATCCGTCGCAGCGCAGGCTGAAGATAAAAAAGTGCGACTGTACGTGTATCTGGTGGGAAGATACATTTTCGCACCATGAGCCTTCGAAACTCTCGGACCATGGGGAAAGTCGGCCATCGCTCTGGTAAAGGAAATTGGTAAACGACTTCAGCTGCAGACAGGTGAACCTCGTTCTCACGAATTTCTGCACCAACGATTATCGCTGGATATTCAGCGAGGCAACGCCGCTTAGGTGCTTAGAGCAATGGAAGGAACGGCAGCATTAAATGAGATTCTGTTGCTGAGAATTGTGACTAACTATTTTCGATCTGTGATATACTGTGTTCTATGAAATTAACATGAGAAGGGACAGTGCATAAACCTGAATCCAGCGGCCTAGCGCGCCGTATAATGTTAAATGGCTCAAGCCAGTGTTTTTTGGGTTTCGCTATTATAGTTTTCAACGGGAATTGCAACGGGCATTTACGAGTACGTACCCTAAACTGTTCTTTAAGGGCCCTAACATACGGCAAAGCAGAACTGTCCTGACCACATGAATACTGGCTAACGAATAGACAGCCTTGCTGCTCGTTAATGGCCAACGGATTCAATTATCCAACTCTTGAAGTCTACACTTCTGCCGTTCCAGGTTTCCTAAATGTCGACATACCGGAAATGGTATTCCAAGCCCGGTGAAACGGAATTACAGTAGGTGCACAGACTTTGAGCTTTGCTACTGTACATTAACGATGTTAAACTGCACTAGTGATGTTGCCGATATTTTGCATTTCGTATGCCTAAATCTTTTATTAAATGACAAAAACTATATGCAAATTCTGCATCACTTCAAAGGTTTCATCAAAATTTCTCATATTATACTTATTCTTGTTAATATTACTTTAAAAACACGCTGTGTTAAGAACGTTTTGTAATTCAAAGCACCAAATATAATATGCGCTAAAGAAACGGAAACATAACGGAAACAAGGCGAAGTTTGTTGGGCCAGTCCCTGGGGCGCTATTGCGACCGCCGGAGGTGGCGGTACCGTGTGGGGCGCTGGACCCCTCAGGGGCGACATTTTATTTTTCAAGGTGGGATAGTTTTTCCAGATCGAAAAAATTCGCTGATTCCGAATCTGCAATCGGTTTATTCAAAAAACTGATTGGCGTGTGGGGTGTTGTCTAAAAAAGCCCCTGACTGTGTGGATCATGCGAACCGTTACCGAAGCGCTTATAACGGTAAAGCGGCTACCATGGCTTCAGGTTTAAACGTTTCGACTGCGGAGTGTACAGCGAAACATGCTTTTCAGTGATGTGCGCACATGTGGCAATGTCATGGCAATATAGACGGGATCCAGTGCCGCTTGAAGGTTGAGGGTCCCGGCGATTTCGTAGAACAAATCATTGTTATATTCTTCCATTAAGACCAATTTAAAGTAGATGGCATTGGGCAGCCAGCCAACCAGTGCCGTGGCGGTCAGTTTCGTCAGAACATTGTAACTATTGGATGAGAGCAACGTCGTTGGGTCTTGGCCGCTGCCCCTGGAATCAGAAGCGCCCACAGGAACGGTATCCCGCGGTGCGCTTGTCACCTGCTGCCGTTTACGCCGGCGCCGTAGCATAATGTACGGATAGCCGGCAAATACGAGGACTTGCGGTAGCAAATAGCACCAAGTATCATTGAAGGCAATCAGTTTCCACTGTGGTGCATAATTTATGAGGCAGAATGGCCGTGCATCGATCTTCACACGATACCACAGCGCATCGCGAATAATCTCCAGCAGCAGCAGCGCGTTAATGTACAGCCAGATGAACACGCAGAGGCCGATGGCAACGGCTTTGGTGTGGCGGTTGCGATAGCTGAGGAGAAAGTTCACCGCCCAGAGGCGGTTGACTGTGATGAGCAGGTGACAGTGGAAGAGGGCCGAATTGACGATAAAATTGGGGTACAGATAATGCATGCAGCCAAAAAATGAAGTACTTATGGGTATTCCTATTCGGTAGAAAACTGAGTCTGGCGTCTGGCGAGATGCGCATGCATGTGTATGTAGCATATATAGACTGTAGGTACTTAATAAATTACTTTAATAACGTACCGGTGCAATAACTCAATCGCATTGCAAATAACTTGTCTAATTATATAGCATTATATAAAAAATTATGGCTTGCTGTACAGGTGACCTTTTGGATTTCGCAAGGGTTTAGGCTGCGTGCACGAAAATCAATTAGGCTTTAACAAGAAATCTGGGAAAACTTTTGTACGCTTTAAAAGGAAGGAATTCACACAGCCGCAACCCGTTCCCGGCGTCCGTGCAAGCAGCATCGGCTTACGAAAAAGCGTTAAACTTAACTGTGCACGATGTCGCATTACACAACAAAGGGCTGATACGCTTATCTGCAGTACAGGAAGGATGTTTTAGGCGGCATCGAATTACCCCTTATACAGGTATTTCGTGCTGCTTTCTCGTTTAGCTGTCTTTTGCACAAGTCCTTTTTATTGGAAGGGCGGGAGTTAGAAGAAGTAACAAAAAAAGCCGTCAACAGCAAAAATATTTCTACAACGTATTTGCATGTCTTGGCATAACAACAGAAAACATTTATAATGAACAAACCCATCGTTGCTGTCTGAAATGCAGAAATAGATGGTAGTTCGATATTTTGCGATCAAGGCAAGTCAAACCAAGAAACGATGGCTGCATCTCTTTGGAAAACACAACACAACGTATTTACACGTCTTGCATAAGAATAGAAAACATTTATTATGGTCCAGTCTCTCACTGCTGGTTGAAATGCACAAAAACACGAGCAATAGAAGATGCTTCGATATTTCGCGGTCAAGGCTAAGTAAACCAAGAATTGATGGCTGCAACTGTAAGCTTAGAAAGAGTGGACACATCCACCTGCCTCAGATCAACATCCGTCCAGCAGCGCTCACTGCCATCCGGTCGGAAGCCACAAAACCTATATTATAGAAAACTGCGATAACCTACAAATTTTACGAGTAGGTTTTCAAACGCATAAACGTCACATACAGTTGAAAGATGCGTCGAATCGGATGCCATTGATTGGGATACTCCAACTTGTCCACCCATCGCTGACGAATGGAGCGTACCTGGTTGTACACCGTGGCATCAATCGGAGGATGATTTATCTCCGCGGCCAGTAAAAATTTCCGCAGCATACTGGCATCATCATGATTATCGGCATGCAGCGTCAGATACGGAATTGTGATCGGATTTCTCCCTTCATCTGAGATCCAACGAAAACCGGCTTCGTCCAATGGAAACTCCTCGGAAAACACACGCGGCAGAGTAATGCAAATACACTGCACCGTATAATTCCGCAGAACCAGACGCCGGCCAACCGAGATTAGTTTGTGTAAACTGTGGCACTTCCAAGGACCGTCAGCTGGATCATCAGCATCTTCGTCATTTTGTTCCGATAAGGCGTACAGATCAGGATAATCCGCAAAACCGTCTCGAGCGACGCAGTCTTTGATAACGATATAGTGCAGCTGCATCCGTTTGACGGTTAGCAACGGTACCAACACTATTGTGGAAACAGATATGGCAAAGTCGGAGAACGGAAGATTGCCGGTGAGAATAACGCTGGTGGTTGCGTCGGTTAGGGCCTGGTTTACGGCCCAGGTGAATTTGTACATACTGTGGCATGAAGGCAAGGGCACGTGGAGCTTGAAGCATTTGCTTGGCTTGAGTATGGAGACGTCGATGGTAATGTGTCGGCTGGAGTCACGGTCGGATAACAGCAAATACCACAATGCGCAAACCCTAAAGCAGACCCTTTTACCCTTTATTCTATGACGTTTTGCAGCCAGATGATGTGTATCCATAATGAGACTTTAATCGGGAGACTGGAATGCATCTAAACCGTCTGGAATTTTCTTACAGCCCTAACTCCCAAACCAGATGTTGAGCGCACAAACGGTTTTTACGCCAATGTACAAGCCCGTCCGGAGTTAGAGCACGATAAAGAACAGCTAACGCATAATAAGCGCGATGTTAGCGCTTAGTCGATAGCCACTGCACAACAGTTGGCGCAACTCATTAATCTACAATATTCGCTGTTCTCTATCGTGCTCTAACTCCGGACCGGCTTGTACACACATTATCTGGCTGCAGAAAGTCATAAAAACAAAGCAACAAAGCGCTTATGAGTTGTGAGTGCGCAAAAATTAAAATTTCGTGCACTGAACTTTACCGATTTCAACTCAAAATGACGCGCAATAACCGGCTGCTGTGCTATCACCGGAAAAAGTTTAAAAACTGGGACGCGTCATATAATTCGCCTATCTGTCCGACTCCGACCAAACTTACCATTATGGTAAATCTGTATCTAAAGAACATTCTGAGCCATTATGGTGATAATATCATCTAAAACAAAGATGCCGTGAATTGTCGAACATTTTAAAGTTTTATAGCTTGGTCACTTTAGATCTGACCAGCTTGATTTTGGTTCAGAATGTGTATGGGAATTTTTTTCATGTGATGGGGCGATCAGATAAGGAGCCGAATAAAACATTGAAATTATCTGCCCCACATTTGCTATCTTGAGAAAATGAATTTTTTGTTTATGAGAAAAAAAATGAGCAACATACTCGTTACCTTTTTGCTTTTGCTTGAGTGTACAGATCCAAACCTTGGAGAACGCGAGCCGTAGCTGAATGCACCAGATCACCAATCCTTCCGTCATTGCCTATAATTTAAATAAGCGACCTTCACTTTTTTAATGTTTCATCCGATTGTGCAATATACCCGATAATACTAGGCGGATACCAGTAGCTGTATAAATAGAAGTAAGAAAATACCGAAAATTAAACCCTGTTCCTGGGCGCTCAATACAGTATCATTCAACAGAGACGGAACTGGATATAATTTCGCACAAGCTTGCGTTAA